TTTTTGAACCTCTCTTTTCATTTTTCTTCATTTTTTCTTTTCTGGGTATTTCTTAATTTCTCCAATTTTCACAAATTTCACCATTTTTAGACATCTTTTTGCAATTTTTCCAACACCCAAATCAAAAAATTTGTGAAATGTCAACAAAAGATTAGATTTTGATGAAATTTTCTAACACCCAAATTTGAAAAAAAAAATTGTTATTGATTGAATTTAATTGATACCCAAATCAAAAAAAAAAAAAATAGTGGGTATTTTCTCTGAGAAATGCCCACAACAGATTACCAAGGTTCAGGAAGTCTGTTGACGAATTTCGGCCGTTCGATTTTGAGTATAAGACGTGATCAAGGTCAAGTTCATTCAACAATGGAGGGTTCACATGACCCAACAAATCAAGAATTCGAGCTCGAAACGTGTCAAAAACAAGTAGCAGAGCAATTTTATGAAAGAAGTGTTAAAGCTCTTGATGTTTGTTATGTAATTAGAGATGGAATTGAACAGGTTAGACAATGGAAGAAGTTGTTGGAAATTGTGATTTGTGCTCTTGATAATTATTAGAGTTTAGGTGAAGGTCAAATTCGCAGGGCGAAAAAAGCTTTGATTAATCTTTTGATTGGAATGTTAGCAAGAAGGGATTGAGGCAGCAAAAAGGGGAAAAGGGAGAGGTGGGGCCCCATAGGTTGGGGAATAGGGAGGATGGTAGGGTTGTCAGCGTCAGCCGAAGCTTTGGGCGTCGGCCGCCGGCAGAGGGGAGGGGAGTGGTGGCTAACGGGAGGGGGCTAGCTAGTGAGGGTGGCTGGGTTTTTTTCCTTTGTTTTTTTTTTTTGAATAAACTTAACGAAACCCTAACAGATTCCGTTTAGTGGTAGTTATTTTTAACAAATTTTGATTTAGGTGGTGGTAAAGTAAAAAAAATACTACGTATTAAATAGGTAGCAAATGTGAAACTTGATGTTTTTAGTGGTAGCAAATGTCAAAATTTTCTTGATATTTTGTTTTTTAAACAAAGGTGAAAGAGGATATATTTTAATAAATTATGAATCAATAATGCAAGAAAGAAAATTATTACTTCATCATCTTAACTTATACTCGGCACTGATTAACTAGCCTTTTTATTGGACCTTGCAATGCCCGGTTTAGTATAAAGTAAACTCGGTTAAATTAATTTATATTTTTTTCAATGATTATACAATTTTCGTATGAGTAAAAGTGAAGAGTTAGGAGAGAAAATTTGAATAAGATATGTGTACATTAACATTATTAAATTATAGAGAATGTGAAAGAAACATCATAAAACACATTGATTAAATTAGCAATAAAATTACTACATACATATACTCCCTCTGTTACATACTACTCGCAACAATTACTATAAATGGCCGGTTGACACAACTCGCAACGATTTTTTTTTCTTTCCTTTTGCAGTAATTTTTTTGTGTGATTTTACAAAATTAACCTTACTTTTTTTTAAACACCATAATTAAATTATCGATTTTATCTAATCAACTTAAACCTTAACAATAATTAACTTAACCATTTTCACCAAAATAATTCCCCTTCCATCTAAATTCATCATAACCTTCATTGGCAACCACCACCACCACCACTACCACTGATCTCCGATATCTTTTCATCAACCCAGAAATTTCTCTCTTTGTTCATATCCCCTTAATTCAAGTGCAACAATCTATAGAAACCGCCACCGTCACCAGAAGCCACTGCTGCTGCATGTCCTCTCCTGTGGCCGCCTCCATTTTCTCTGTCTTCATTCTTTTTCTAGTTGTTTCATCATTGCCATTGATGAAGCTCAAATTTGAAGGTTTTATATATGGTCAAATTTTACCATAAAACCTCTAGTTCTAGAGTTTTGATGGTTAAATTTGACCTATTAAAGCTTTAGTTGATGAATTAGCTTGTCATTAACATCCTTTTTCGTTCATATTTGTAGCCTTGTATGGTTGCGTTTTTCTCATGGGTGGATTTTTGGGTTCGTCAATTCGTATTGGATTGTGGGTTGTGGGATTCTGGGTTCAAAAGTTTGTGGGTTTTAGGGCTTGTTCACATTTACTTAATTTCAGTTCAGTTTAGTTCAGTTCCAACCAGTTCAGTTCAGCTCCAATCAGTTCAGTTTATTTCAGCTCTTAATTTCCCTCTCCATAAAATATTCATTTTAGCTTAGTTCAGTTCAGTTCAGCTCCAATCGGTTCATTTCATTTCAGCTCCTAATTTTCCTCTCCATAAAGTATTCATTTTAGCTTAGTTCAGTTCAGTTCAGCTCCAATCAGTTCAGTTCATTTCAGCTCCTAATTTTCCTCTCCATAAAATATTCATTTTAGCTTAGTTCAGTTCAATTCAGCTCCAATCAGTTCAGTTCATTCCAGCTCCTAATTTTCCTCTCCATAAAATATTCATTTTTAGCTTAGTTCAGTTCAGTTCAATTCAGCTCTAATCAGTTTAGTTCATTTCAGGTCCTAATTTCCCTCTCCATAAAATATTCATTTCAGGTCCTAATTTCCCTCTCCATAAAATATTCATTTTAGCTTAATTTAGTTCAGTTCAGTTCAGCTCCAATCAGTTCAGTTCAATTCAGCTTAGTTCAGTAAATGTGAACAGGCCCTTAGATTCATCGGTTGTGGTTTATGGGTTCATGGGTGGTGGGTAATGGGGTTGTGGGTTGTGGTGGTTTCATGGTGCTTGGTTGTGGTGTTGGTTGGTGTTTCGTGGTGGGTATTAAAGGTGGGATTATTTCCAGATTACGTAAAGGTGGGATTGTTTTAAGCAAAATTGACAAAGGTGGGATTATTCTTTTCAAATTTTTCTTTTCATTAATAATGCTTTCAATCTTTTGCTTAAGAGTCCGCAATCCCCAAGTTTTTTGTGAGTAATATGTAACGGAGGGAGTATTTTTTGTTAACAATTTGATTAAAAAAAGGGTTGACACTTGATTACCAGCGAAAGTACCTTGTGTTACATTTGCTACCCGTTTAATTTTTTATTTTATTTTTCTACCACCTAAAATCAAATAATTAAAATTTTACTACCACTTAGAGGAATCGTTAAGGTTTCGTTAAATTCATTCAAAAAAAAAGTAACCTAGCCACCCTGCCACCCCTTCCCCCTCACCCCTGTCGGCGACGACGCCTAGAGCTTCGGCCAGTGCCAACGCGAACCCACTCCCTTCCCTTTCCCCCACCCTACGCAACCCCCCTTCCCTTTCCCCCCACCGGAATTTGCCCCCAGCTTCGTTCCTCCCCACCGAAATAGACCCCCCTCCCCTTCCCCTACCCTTTTCGGCCATCCCTAACCCTAAACCACCACCCCAAACCACTATAAGCGAAACCCTAAATTCGTTTTGGGTTAAGGAAGACCAAAAAGGGTAGGGGAAGGGGAGGGGGTCGATTTCGGATGGAGGGATGGAACAGGATTGGGGGGCGGATTCCGGTGGGGGGAAGGGGAAAGGGGGTGGTTTTGGTTCGGGGTGGGGGTCGGGGCAGCATGAACGTCGGGGAAAGGGTAGGGGGGATGCGTAGGGTGGGGGAAAGGGAGGGGGTGGATTCGCGCCGGCGCCGAACCGTAATCAACCGGTCCGGGTTACGGTCCAGACCTGTTTATTCCGGTCCGGTTTTGGACTAGAATGGACCGGTTGTATTCTTTTCTCTCTCTCTCTTTTTTTTTTTTTTTTTTTTTTTTTTTGTGCTTTCCTATTTTGCACCTAGAGTTTATAAATTACAAGTTTTGTACCTAAATTTTTTAGAAATTGAACCTTAAATTCTAAAATTTTCACCCAAAAAATTACAAATATACACTTTCGACCGGAAACCCGGAATTGCCAATTTTTGCGGATCGAAGACCGACCCGAAATTCCCCGGTCCGGTCCGGTCCAATTCCATTTCTGTACACCCCTAGATATACTAGTGTACTACATAAATTCCATTCCATGGTATAAAGTTCATAAATTGTGAGCAATAACTTTTAGATAAGGGGAATATAAATTTAGGGTACTGCTATATGTAGCCCCTAGGCCAATATGCATCATTCTATAAGTATTAAGTTGGGAATTTATTGATAATTCACAAGTAAATCGATGTAATAAATGTTTATTTATTATCTATTCTTTCCACGGTTAGCTTCTTTAGGGCTGCGTATATCTTTTTGTATAAACTTATCCTAAATATAAAGTCATATGTGTAAAATTTGTAGTTAAAGTTACTTCTATTGTTTTTTTATTTTTTTATTTTATATTTAATTTTTAAGGGCCTGTTCAGTTATGTTCAATTCAGTTTAGCTCCAATTAATTCAATTCGTAATTTCCTTCTTTCATAACAATTCATTTTAGTTGCTTTCAGTAAATTAGAGCAGACCCTTAAAATACACTTCTAAACCGATACAATTATTACAAAGTACTTCGTACAAATTAAAATACACTCTAAAATTGATTAAATATCGTCCCAAAATAAATTAATATACACTCAATGCACATACTTTGTGTGTGCAATTGGACAAAAGAGTACTATAGTAATTTTTTTTATTTTTTTTTATTTTTTTTTCACTAGACAAAATGCCTTGTTTTTCTCAAGGCTCTGAGTTAATTGTAAGATCAAGGATAATCTTAATTGTCTTTCTCTGCTCACACTTACCCCTTTTTCCAATTTTTTTTTCTAAGCCCTTCATTTGGATTTACACCTTTTTCCAATTTTTTTTCCCCTCTCTATCCTTTTTAGTAATCCAAATTAATAAGTATTCCATAATTAATTAGTTGTACAGTATTACAGTAATATCTGTATTTAATTGTTTTTTTTTTTTTCAGATTATTTTATTTTATGAAAGGTGTCATTTTATTTCTTTCTAAAAAGCTGATTTAGAGATTTCTGATTTGTATCTTGTTCGAAAAAAAAGAACTAATCTTTTTCTAGATAAAGTGAATAAGCTTTTTGTATTTATCTTAAAATACTAGGATTATTCTGTAATTTACTTAAAAATTACGATATAATGAGTTGTTGATGACTCTGTAGCTTATTCACATTCCTTTTGTTAGCAGAAAAATACAAAAAGCAAAAAAAGTAAGATAAAAAATAAATATAAACAGAATTGAGGTAAGAAGACAGATTGGTTTACTAGATATTTGGCATTATTGGTCTATATTGGCTGTTTGATTCATTGAAAAATGGAAACTTTTTTCTGGGTTTGGTAGGAGTTTTTTTTTCCAAAGTTTAGGGATTTACGAAGATTAGAAAACTTGATATTGGGGAGACTAGTTGACATTTGACATAGAGTTTTACAGTTTTAGAGAGAGAGAAAGGGAGTTTTATTAGAGAGAGAAAGACAAAGTTTTGGTGAGAGAGAAAATGGGTTCTTATGGAAAACTGGCAAGAAGGGCTTTGGAGACTGAATCACCAGTTATGGTTCAGGTAACAGTTATAAATTTTCATTTTTTTTTTTTATAAATTTTGATTTTGTTTGTTTTTACTAATAATTTTGTTTTTAGCATTCCAAGTAAATGCGAAATTCGAAATGGGGTTGTCTTGTTAATCTCAAAAGTACACTATAATGTTTGATTTTCTGTAATTTGAGGTTTTTTTTTTTCTTTTTAAAATTTAATTTAGCTTTACTGGGTCTGAATGTTTGTGCAGATACAAGAATTATACAGGGCTACCAAAGATGCAGTGTCCTTGGCTCAGGTTTGTGATTTTTTCTTTCATTTCCTGAAATTATGTGTTTGGAGTGTTATTGATTCAAACTGATTAACTTTTTCCAGTATGATCATTCATGTTGATTGCTAATTTTTTGATGATTTTGGGTGTTTGGGGCTATAGAATTATCGCGAATTCTTGTATTAAAGACGGTCTGATGGCTGATTAGGCCAAGGTTGTTGTCATGGGGATTGAAAATTCTATAGATTAAGCTATTTCTTATGTGAATTTTGCCCAAATGTTTACGCTGACTTTGACTTGGACTTGGTGATGCTTGCTTCAAGTCTTAGGAATTGTATTGTGAAAGGCTGTGGACTATCTTTTAGTCTTTGAATAGCTATGATGGTGATGTGTTTTTGAGCCACTAAGTGAAGTAAAGGGCTGATTTTGATGGATGGTAGGTGGTATAAAACTTGGAAGGACTTTTCTGTTTTCCAGGATTGTTCGCGGAAAATTTTATTAAGACATGTTGCTGGCCGTCTGTCCCCTTGAAGGCTTTCCATAGCTTTATTGGCCCTTAATGGAACTTATTATTTTGCGTTTCTTTATAAGCTCGTATATGGGAACTTTATTTTCTAATCTAGAAGACTTGAACCTTTGATCTCCAAAACTTGGTTTTGTAAGGTGAAAACAAAGCCTGAGTGGTTAAGAATTCGTCGGTTTATGTTGTTTTGGGAAGAAGGATTAGTCATAGTATGTGCTTTGAATTTTGATAGAATTTCCATAAAAACTTTGCAAGCTGCCAAATAAATAAGCAGCTCTATATTTAGTATAATGGAAATTAAGCATTGTGTAGAATAGCTGTTAAATAAAGTTCCAAACTAGTGGATGCTTTTAGGTCTCTGAGTAAGAGGACGGACCTTTAATTAGGGTTAAACAACAACAGTTGGAACAAAGTAATCTTTAGAATCTTTGCGAAGTTGAAAGGGCCGCTGTCAAAATTATAAGCTGACTAAAAGAATGTGGATGGGAAAGATAACTAGTAAAAGAAAAAACCTCCATTAACCCTTTAGTAGTGATAATTGTTTATCTAAAAATCAACTAGAGTTTGAAAAAATAGTATTGAGCATCTAGTCATGAGCAAGTACCTGGACTTTCTGATATCAAGAAATTGTTGCTAAATAAGCTTAGTTTATATGCTCTTGAATCATGTACTTCGTACATTATGTGTCATTTAAAAAAAAAAAAAAAAAAAAAAAACTAAATTTAAGTGCTCGACATTTTTATTTATTGTATGAGTATGATATCTGATCTTTGTCAGCTGCAAATAAAGGTTTGGACTCTTGAATATAAATTTAAGATTTGCTTGTATGTTTTGCCCAACAGTATGCAGTCAGCTATGAAGTATTTGGGAGATTCAGTTTGTCAAGATATGTCTCTCTTTTTTTTCTTTTTTTTTTCTTTTTTTTTTTTTTTTTTTTTCTCTCTCTCTCTTTTTTTCCCCTCTTAATTTGGTGGGAGTGGGTAGTGGTCTAGTGGAGGGAGACTCCATATCTATCAGACTATCAGGCATCTTTCTGGATTAAGTTCAATGTTGCTTGTTTGTTTAACGTTGATATTTTGTTTAGCAGATTGGAATTCCTTATGTATCTTTTGAGAGTTACAATTGGTCCTTTATTTTGACAGCCCTCACTTTCTAATTTTTTTGTGTAGGGTGTCGTATATTGGCAGCCACCGAAACAAGCATTGAACAAGGTTAAGGAGCTTGTATGTGAGCCTAGCATTAGTCGGTATGGTGCTGATGAAGGCATCCCTGAGCTTAGAGACGCCCTGATGAAAAAGGTGAAAATTTATAATCTTAAGAACAAGATTAGTTTCAACCCCTGCATTAACGCACAGTTGTTATGAATTATACGGTGCTTGCCTTAGTGTTTGCTGATTTATTCATCTTACATTCAAAGAATTGATGCTTGCTGACTAGTTTTCCTCTTAACACTCTACTGAACTGCTTGTGTCGTTTCACTATTCTCATGCCTTGTGATATAAAATTCGCTTAAGCCGATGAAGATTTTGAATAAGTGTTTTGTTGCTGAAAAGTATGAATTTAGAATTGTGATTGTTAAATGATACTTGCCAACTTGTTTACATTGCTGATATGTATGCTTTCAACCATCACAGCCTTAAACTTTGATAGCAATATGCGTGACATCTCTCAGTTGTTGAGGGGTTGGGAATGCTGGTGTTTGTCTCCCTCTCCCTTGGCTTTGTAGTTTGCTCGTCTATTTTTGTCTACATATGCCCTCCTTACCCCCAAAAGATAAAAAACAAATAGTTAGGCATAGAATAAGAAATATAAGGCCTATGCTGCTAGTAGTTGTCTATCTTCAACTCATCATGCTTTAATATCTAAGCATGTTGGCTGTAGCTCAGTATCATTGTATTTGATTTTATGTGATCTAGTTGTGGACAGAGGTTTCTTTTATCTCCTTCTCTGCCCATTATAAATTGTGTATCAGTATATGTCATCCTTTATTTTCCTGGGGGCCTGGGGCTCATCCTGTATGGAGATTATCATAGCGTTATGTAAATTAAAATCCTCCATACATGTCACTGTTACTTAGAAGGTGCTTAGATAATTTAGGTCTTGACCTAGGAGCACCTGTAAAATGCACATTTCTTCCTTAGAATTTAACATTGTTCTGGGATTTTCACTTTTGCAGTTGCAGACAGAGAATCAGCTGAACAAATCAAAGATTATGGTTACTGCTGGTGCAAACCAGGTTAGTAGAACCGGTTGCCTTTCTCTTGTGGTGACATCGTGATTTATAATGCAGGCTGATATTTCGAAATTTTATGAGTGTCATGTGCCACCTGATTAACATCTATTATCTTCAATTCTCCATATACACATTAAGGCAATCTCTTGAAATTTTTTGCAGATTGTATGTTGTTATGTTCTATTTCTTTGAGTTATGATAGCTTAGTTTGACTTTTGAGCTCTGCTTGGCCCAAAGTCTTCTTGAGCTGTTAATGCGTCAATTTGAGCTCTTCTAGGCAATTCCAAAAGCTTAATTTATGCACAAATGCCAGGAAGTAGAGCTATGTAGTATGTACAAAATATTTAGCACTCAAAGTATAATAATGCCCAAAAGTATGTTAATAATCACTGTGATAATGTTCAAGAACACTTTGTTATTTTAATCAACAGATTATTTTTGATTGATTCTGAAGTTTGTTGTCTTTTCGGTATTTGGTCGCAAATACAAGACGAATTAAGTTATAAATACCGGGATCTACTTGAGAGCAACTTGATTAAAATTCAACAAGAGCTCAACTTGATCTATCTTGGTAACTATCTGAGTTGAGCAGATCTAGTTTATAGCTCAATCACTACTGTTAATCTGTTATTGATTGGTTTCAGCTTCACTTCCAGCTTTTATATGTATAAGTACTTAAGTACTGTCATTTATATTTTTTCATTGAGAAATTGTGAAAGTTAGGAAAGTAAGATCACCAAATTGAGATCCTTTCCTGATCAAAGTAAGTGAAAGGTCTAAAGCTAAACATAAGTTGCAGCTTGACAAATTCCTTCAATTCCTGTAATTTCAGGCATTTGTGAATCTTGTCCTTGCACTATGTGATGCTGGGGATTCTGTGGTCATGTTTGCACCATATTACTTCAATGCATACATGTCCTTTCAAATGACTGGCGTTAGCAACATACTAGTTGGTCCTGGTGATCCAAAAACTCTATATCCAGATGCAGGTGAGAAGCTTTATTTTGTCAAGCTTATCCTATATTGTTGGTACTTGCAGTATCCTTTTTTTGTAAAATGAGCTTTTTGAAGTTGCACTGATCTGCTAAGCTCTGTTGATGAAAAGTGGAGTTATTCTGGTCTGGTATCATCATAACATGTCCATATTTCTGGTTGTCAGTTTGCAAGATAAAGATCATATCATGTAATTTCTACCTAAGCTGTTCAATTAGATGCAGGGGTCTTTCTTTGTGGTATAACATTGTCAAAGATTTTTGACTATATCAATATACATGTACAATTTACAAGATTTTCCTGGGTCCTCTACTCTTGTATCCTTCCTTCTTCCCTCGCCTCGATCTTTCTCAATCCAAAGCCCTAACAATCACCTTCATCACCACTTACCCACCACTCCCTTTTTTAGCCCATAAATAATTCCACTCTTACCCCCTGTGATAATATTACCCTTTAATTCATTGATTTCATTCCCCTCATTCCAAGTATGACATTAGTAATAACTTGTTTGTGTGTGTGGACAACTGATCGAAAGTAGGAAGAATGTTATGTTTAGGGTCAACGAGTTAAATGGTCTTTTTTTAAAGTTCTCATAGAAAACACTATCTTAATTGTTTATTGATTGGCCAGCCACCTGTTGAAGTCTGTTTTCTTCACATTTATTGTCATCTTTCATTTTACGATGATTGGTTCACATGATACTAATAATATCATAACTGAAGCAAATTAAAATCATATAATAACCTGGTTTTGTCCTTGACAGTTGCATTATTTCTACAATGTTTTGTTGGAGACCCTTTACGAATGTATATGTTTCTTGTCAGACTGGTTAGAGCAGACTCTCAAGACAAACCCTCCACCAAAGGTGGTCACAGTTGTGAATCCTGGAAACCCATCAGGGACCTATGTACCGGAACCTCTCCTCAAGGTCCTCTTCTTTTTCTTTATATCCCTTAAATGCTTCCCCTTCAGCTATGCTATACTTTAAAGGTTCGACCAGAATATTTTGATTTGTTTGTGCAATTATTTGAAACCTTCTGATTATGTTTCCACTCCTTTTTCCTCGAGTAGAGAATTTCCGATCTTTGTAGAGAAGCTGGTTCTTGGCTCATTGTAGATAATACCTATGAGTAAGTTGCCTCTGATTCCATTTCTAATCATAGTTATTATACTACTTTCTTTGTGCTAAACAATTGTGTAAATAAATGTTCAATGGTTGATCAGTAGTAGCCATCATAAAAAAGCAACTACCTGTCTTTTGAGTCTATTTGCTCGTTGCTTCTTTAATCTTTATTCATATTCAAGATTCACTCTGATTAGATCTTTCTATTTCCATATCTAAGAAATTTACATGAGAGATATGATGCAAGTCCTTCGTACTACAATGCCGAATCCCCTTTTGTGCTCATTGAACAGGATCTTTGACATGATAAGTGTAAGTGTGTCAGCATACTTGTGTGATCAAGACAAACTTTTTATTAGGGGATTCTCACCCTAATTTCATATCTGAGAAAAAAGTTGATGGAATTAACGAGTTGGGATTCTGTAATTAAAAAATGAAAAATTACTTTAACTGCCAAAAGCAAGGCATAAAGCTAAAGAGATTTTTTTTGTTTCACTTTGTTCAATGGGGCGAGAGAACAGGTTTGTTTCACATGTTACTTTTGTTTTTTAATTTTAGACTGCTATTGGAGATTTTAGGAGGGAGAGTATTTGTCCAGCTAGCTTCTTCCCTACACATATGGAGAATTTTTGTCCCGCTAGTTTTTTCCCTTCACTTATTCCACTTCCTTTCGACCTCTCCTCACCTACCAGCTCCAAATTCCTAGTTTGCTTTTTTTCTTGAACTTATTCATATACTTGTAGCTGTTTTTTGAGAATGCTATTTCTGACTTCTGTATACTGGGATGACGCCTAATTAATACAGCTGCCTCCAATGTCCAATTAGTACCTTTTTTGATATCTGTGATTTATTTGCAAAATACATGTTTCAGCTTCCACAACCATACAGTATCTTAATCTTAGAATGAACTCTACTTGCAGGTATTTTATGTATGATGGCCGAAAGCACTCATGTGTAGAAGGAGATCATATAGTCAACCTTTTTTCTTTCTCAAAAGCCTTTGGAATGATGGGATGGCGTGTTGGATATGTAAGCAACAATTTGCCTTTTGAAGCTTGTGATATTGTCAAATTCCTGTGAATTTACTCCTGGATGTCCATATCTAGTACTATGTTTTTTTAGTTAAAAAAAGTGTTTTTTTATCTGTTTAATTCTCGAAGAAACAAACAATAGATGAAAGGAGATATCTTTACGTGCAGATAGCATACCCAGCTGGAGTAGACGGGTTCCTAGATCAGTTGCTGAAGGTGCAAGATAACGTCCCAATCTGTGCATCCATAATTTCTCAACACCTGGCACTTTACTCGATGGAGGTAGGAACAGATTGGGTAAAGGACCAAGTCAAGGACCTAGTCAAGAATAGAGACCTTATAAAGGAGGCACTTTCTCTCTTGGGTGAGGGTGCTGTTAAAGGTGGAGAAGGCGCTATCTATCTATGGGTGAAGCTTCCTGACCAGTTCCAAGATGACTTTGCAACGGTTCGTTGGCTTGCTCGCAGGCATAAGGTGGTGTTGATCCCAGGAAGCGCGTGTGGATGTCCTGGACACTTTAGGATATCCTTTGGTGGTATGCCTGAAGCTGAAACTGCTATTGCTGCAGAGAGGCTCAGAAAAGGCTTGGAGGAGCTGTTGAAAGATGGAATGGTGGAGGAATGATTGAAGCTTCTTTTTATTTGTCATTTAAAACATTGATTGAAAAAAAAGGCAAGTTGTTGCTATAAATGTAATGACTTGTATAGAATGACCAAAAGTTCCCTCCACAGAGAACAAAGAAATTGGGAAAATTATTTGCAAACTACCATAAGATTAGAAAACTTAAAAAATAACGATATAAGGTGATCTACCATTTTCTCACAACAATATTTTTAATGACAAATGAGTAAAAGAATTTTAGTTGGGAGTTGTACATGATACCTTATATTGAATTTCTTGCATGTCTTATGTTTCACTAGAAAATTATTCAAAGTATATGTAAATTCAAATATTTCAAAAGATTTTTCTTTCTTATTAATTTTGACCAAATGTGCTAATGCAAGCTTCTATATATATATATATATATATATATATATATATATATATATATATATATATATATATATAAAATAAAAAAATAAAATAAAATAAAATTTACTAATATGAGAACATTATGTATGTGCATGCTCTCTTATTAGATTGATAATATATTTTAAGTAAAGCATAAGCCATAAAATAATAAATGTTCGAAATATACTGAAATTAGCATAAGAAAATATCCCCTAAAAAAAAGCATAAAGAAAAGTTTTAAACCTTTGAATTGAAGTACTACAATAGATAAATACACTGCTATAGTAAGGCAAAGCTAACAAATTGCCAATATACCTAAAAAACATTATGAAGCAAGAACTAGTTATCATATAACTCTACAAATGGATCTTTCTATATTGATCAAGTTAAAAATTATCACCATAACAACTTTGTGGGCCTGTTAACGTGGCACTCTCATGGCCACAATAAATAACGTGGTCCATTCTCTCTCTCTATCTAGAGAGAAAGAAGAGAGAGAGAGACGGGTTAGGAAGGGTTGGGGGTTGAAAATAGCCATGGAAAGGGGGAAATCAAGATCAAAAGGAAAGGGGAAATTCACTCCTCCCATTATATATGATTGAGGTATTTATAGGGGTGAAAGTGTGTGTCATCTAGGGTTTGATGCGGCGCAATCATTTAAGGACAAGTGTCCTGGGGGCGCCGTTTTTTTGCGCCTTTCTCGGGATTAACACATATCATTCTAAAGTATTAAATTGCTCCAACTTCTGTCTACTTTCTCTCTCTACATTACTTCTTATTTTGGTCTCTATCTTGATCGTCGGAGGCGAATATTCAGTTAACCGAAATATTCGTTATTTTGCAGGTGTCCAAGACTAGGGCTGGCAATCCCTGACCCGACCCGATAACCCGAACGAACCCGACTAGAAATTAATGAGAGAAACCCGAACCCGACCCGATCTGAACCCGAATAACCCGAATTCGACCCAATTTGACCAAAATTTCATATTTCTAAAATCGTAATAATATTAAATTTTACACTATTTTTTATTGTTTCTAAGCATAACCCGAAATCTGACCCGAACCCGACCCACTGACCCGAATTGCCACCCCTATTCAAGACTGTCTGGCTGTAATCATGACCTGTATCTCGAGGGATAAAAAAAACCCTGAAACAGGTGCAACACATAGAGCTGTCATAAGTTGACCCGACTCGAAATACTGACTCAAACCCGATTATTAACCGACCCATCTGAACCCGAAAAAATGGTGACCCAAACCCGACCTGACCCGACCTCAAACCGACCCTAGACCCGAGTTGACCCGAGTATGTGAGACCCGAACCCGAACATGAACTGAACTGGAGATGACTGTAACCCGTAAATTATTGACTTGAACCGAACCCAACTTGAACCGAAATTGACCCAAACCCGTTTTAACCCGTCAAAACCCGAATTTAACCCGACTTGTTACTAACCTGACTTGAATTCAACCCGACTCGTTCCTAACCTGACCCGAATTTAACCCAACCTGTTATAAACCCGATCCGAAATCAACTCGACTTGTTATTGACCTGACCTAAATTCAACCCGACTTATTATTGACCCGACCTGAATTTTACCAGACCTATTACTAACCCGACCTAAAAATTCAACCTGATTTGTTATTAACCCGACTCGAAATCAACACGACTTGTTATTGACCCGACCTAAATTCAACCCAAATTGTACCTAACCCGATTTCAAATCACCTTAAATACAATTTAGACCACCTTATTATTGTCGATCAAATCATTTTGTTTAGGGAGACCAAGTCGGTCCAGGCCAGCAAAAGAAAGGGGCATCATACTCAAATTTAAGAGATAAATATAATACATATTTGTTTTATGGTCAAAGGAGATAATTATCTTCCTAAATTATAGACTATAGTTCCCTAGTATATTGCCATATATATTATACTCAAAGGAAATAATTAGCTTGATAAAAATGATAATTATCTATCTATATTTAGTTGAACCCGGATATGACTTGACTTGGAATTGACCCGACCTGATTGTAACCTGCAAATTATTGACTTGAACAAAACCCGTCTTAAATCCGAAAATAACCCGACTTGAAAATTACCAACCTGATTATTACCCGCAAATTATTGACTTGAACCGAACCCGAGAATGACCCCCTTGAAAATGGTCCGACCTGATTATAACCCGCAAATTATTGACTTGAACCGAACCCGACTCAAAGCCGAGAATGACCCGATCTGATTATAACCCGCAAATTATTGACTTGAACCGAACCCGACTCGAACTCGAGAATTACCCTAACCCGTTTTAACCCGAATTAAACTCGACCTATTGTTCACCCGACCCGAATGTAACCCGACCTATTATTAACCCGACCCAAACCCGATAAGAATTATGACCCGAATAAAGCATGACCCAACCCAAACCCAACCCGCATAAGTTATGGAATTAATCTGAATTGACCCGACCCGAGTTGACCCGACCACTCTTACCAACCCAAACCCGACCCGTTTACCCGAATTGACAGCTCTACCCGAAAATAAAAATTGACGAAATGTTTACCATGGTCCCTAATACCCTCCGGGAGTGCTGGGTGGAACCATCCAATTTGCCTTTAAACGACCAAGTTACCGGTTTACAACTTGCACCGATTTCATTAACTCAAGCCTACCATGAACATTTATGACAACATATAATGACCAAATATGGTTCCAAACGGCATTATATGACCTCGAGATGTATCCTTTAAAATCTCAATGCTTTTCCACACCGGGCCTCGAAACAATCGAAATTTCTCAAAAAGTGTGGATAATAGCCTTCAATTTTGGATTTTTTTTTACTTTTTTTCGCCTGGATATAAAATTTCCGAAATGTATACAATGGTCCCTATTGCCTTCCGGGAGTCCAATTGGATGGGTGGAACCATCCAATTTGCCTTTAAACGACCAATTTACTGGTTTACAAATCGCACCGATTTTATTAATTGAAACCTACAACGAACATTTATGAAAACAAAATGATCATATATGGTTCCAAACGACATTATACGACCCCGAGATGTATTCCCAAGAATTTCAAGACTTTTCGACATCGAGGCTCGAAGACTCCAAAAATTCTCAAAAAGTGTGGATATAGCCTTCAATTTATGAATTTTTTGACATGTTTTTGGCCCGGAAATAAAAATTGGCGAAATGTTTACCATGGTCTCTAATACCCTCCGAGAATCCAATTGGGTGGGTGGAACCATCCAATTTGTCTTTAAACGGCCAACTTACCAGATTACAACTTGCGCCGATTTTATCAACTCAAGTTTACCACAAACATTTATGACAAAATATAATGATCATATATGGTTCCAAACGGCATTATATGACCCCGAGATGTATCCCCTATAATCTAAAGACTTTTCGACACCGGACCCCGAAACCTCCAAAATTTCTCAAAAAGCCTTCAATTTTGGAATTTTTTTACTATTTTTCGCCTGAAAATAAAAATTGCCAAAATGTTTACCATGATCCCTAATACCCTCCGGGAGTCCAATTGGGTGGGTGGAACCATCCTATTTGCCTTTAAACGGCCAATTTACCATTTTACAACTTGCACCGATTTCATTAATTCAAGCCTACCACGAACATTTATGACAACAAATAATGATCATATATGGTTCCAAATAAAAGACATTATATGACCCAAGATGTATTCCCTATAATTTCAAGATTTTTCGACACTTGGCCCCGAACACTCCAAAAATTCTCAAAAAGCGTGGATATAACTTCAATTGATGATTTTTTTGAATTTTTTACTCCTGGAAATAAAAATTGCCGAAATGTTAACCATGGTCTCTAATACCCTCCGAAAGTCCAATTGGGTGGGTGGAACCATCCAATTTGCCTTTAAACGGATAATTTACCGGTTTACAACTTGCGCCGATTTCATTAACTCAAGTCTACCACAAACATTTATGACAACATATAATGATCATATATAATTCCAAACAGCAATTTATGACCCCGAGATGTATCCCCTATAATCTAAAGACTTTTCAACACCGGGCCCCGAAACCTCCAAAATATCTCAAAAAGTGTGGATATAAGCCTTCAATTTTGGAATTTTTTTTTACTTTTTTTTGCCCGAAAATAAAAATTGCCGAAATTTTTACCATGGTCCCTAATACCCTCCGGGGGTCTAATTGGGTGGGTTGAATTATCCAATTTACCTTTAAACGTCCAATTTACTGATTTACAACTTGCACCGATTTCATTAAATCAAGCCTACCACGAACATTTATGACAACAAATAATGATCATATATGGGTCCAAACAAAATTATATGACCACGAGATGTATTTCTCAGAATTTCAAGACTTTTAGACACCGGGCCCCGAAGACTCAAAAATTTCTCAAAAACTGTGGATATTAGTCATTAATTTTTTGCACTTTTTTTCACCCGGAAATAAAAATTGCCGAAATGTTTTCCATGGTCCCTAATACCCTCCGGGAGTCCAATTGGGTGGGTGGAATCATCCAATTTGCCTTTAAACGGCCAATTTACCAGTTTACAACTTGCACCAATTTCATTCACTCAAGCCTAGCTACCACAAACATTTATGACAACATATAATTATCATTTATGGTTCCAAACGGCATTATATGACACCGAGATGTATCTAAAAAAATCTTTTTTCTTTACGCACCGGGACTCAAAACCTTCAAAATTTTTAAAAAAGCATGGATATTAGCCTTCAACTTTGGAATTTTTTGACTTTTTTTCGCATGGAAATAAAAATTGCCGAAATGTATACCATGGTCCCTAATACCCCCCGTGAGTACAATTGGATGGGTGGAACCATCCAATTTTCCTTT